CAGTTGCCACTTGCCACCTACCACCCCCCCCACACACACCCACTGGCACTTGCAGGTGGTCCCCAGTCACCACTGGCCTTTGCTGATACTGCTGGCAGTGTCTGCAGGTGGTCATTGGCCACCAGTCTGTGCATGCCAACCCCTTGCTCTCCCCGCCGCTGACAGCACTGCAGCCACCTGCTGCCTCCAAGCTCTTGTTGCCGACAGTGTCACCACCACCTGCAGGAGCTTGCTGTGCTCCCCCCACCCCCCAGCCTCTGGAGGCACACGGTGTTCATAGCCACCACAGAGCCAATGCTGGGGTTCTGGAACCTGGCACAGCTGTTTGCAGCCTGCCTGCCACCTACTGCAGCTGCCCAGAGCCTTGGCAGGGAGCCAGGAGGCTGCAAACAACTGCACTGGGCTCCAGAGCTTCTGCTGGGCTCTGCAACAGCAGCTGTTATGTGTGCCCTAGGGCACAAAGCTGGGAAGGGGCCTGGGGCAGCGCAACCCTGGCCCTTTACCCACCATCTGCCCCAAGGTGCACACAGCCACACCTGCCATAAAGCCCGGCTGGGACTCCAGAGCCCAGCCAGAGCTGGGTGCAGCTGTTTGCAACCTCCTGGCACCCAATTTATAGGCAACTAAGTCTTTTATTAGTTTCAGCTATGAGTCTGTTCCTGAGTTGGATATCTCCCAGGATGTCATTCCTTTATTTAAGGTATATAATTAGAGTCAGACAGCATCAGGGTTGTAATTATGCAGATTTCAGTTGGTAGGAATGAAAATCACAGATCAAAGATTCTATTTTGAAATAAATGGTTAAACAGATGCTCATTTTATATTATGCATGTGCTTCTGTGTTTTTATGGGATTTTTAATTCATGAAAAGAATGTGCAGGTCTTTTTGAGGATTTATTGCTGAGAAAGCTGGAAAGAAATTGAATCAAGTTTGGATGAGAAGCTATATTGCTGAACTGTTTATACATTTGAAAGTCACTGATTTTTTTTTAGAAGAGCCCACAGATTAAGACACATTCTGCTACTATGCTCCAATATTTAGATCAGTATGTAAAACGCTGAGGCTTGGCTTAATGCAGGAATAGTTAATGTTAGTAGATGGGATTATTTTTTTAATTCATTATGTCCAGCATTTAAATAAAACTGCTGTTTGCTTTCCTCACTTCTGACTGGTAGTGAGATAGAAAGCTTGCCTGTTATGCACTGGAGATTACTTGAAGGCCAGAGCGCAGAAAATGTTGGGTGTACTTGTCATGTTTCCCTTCCAATATGGAAAAACAGTGATCATTGTAAGTTTAATAACAAAACACTCAAAGAGCCTGCAGTAAGCTAGCACCAAATTATGTACAAAGGATACTATAAAATAGGCTACTGCAAAATAGTACAGGATACTATATTGGTGTATTGCCACTTAAGCAACAGTTAAATTAATAATATTGAGCACTGGTATGGCACTTCATGGGTTCAGGACATTAACCATATATGAACTAATTAATCACCAGAATATCCCCATTAATTAGTGATATTAAGTGCTACTATCTCTATGTTATAGATGAAGAAACCAAGAGTTCTGTCCCCCTGGTCACCTATCAGTGAATTATGGAGCCAATGATTCCAGGGCTTAGTTGTATGATCATTTCTCCAGGCTATACTGCATACCAGTTTACCCCTGGCACATTACTAAATGAGCATCTTGAAGCTCCCTAGGGCATGAATACAGAGTATAAAGTAATGTGGAAGGCAGGGTAGATTTATACCTTAGACTAACCAAAGGAGATTTTAATATTTTATATTACACACACACACACACACACACACACACACACACACACACGCTTTTATGCCGAAGGCAATATAGATCCAATTTCTAGCATACTACTTAAAATAATACAGACGTAGCTACCCACTCATTTAACAGGTTGTTTTTAACAGACTAACATAAATGGTATGTGCAGTCATCCTGTAATAATTTTTATCTGGTTATCTTCATATCAACTCCCTGCCCTAGATTTGACTATGAAGAAAAGACCGACTCATTCTCTGTCCAGGATAAAAACAGACATAGGACTCACTCAATCCATCATTTTGTCTTGTCTATAAAGACTGTAAACTCTTTGGGACCAAACTGGGCGTATCTACACATGTTATTAATGAACTTTAAGCCTACTGTGCAATAAAATAAGGCACAGTAAGCTTTCCTCAGGAATACATCTACACACACACTCATCAGGAGCAGTTCACTCAGGGCTACTCCTACCCTGCTCTGCCCCACTACAGCAGCCAAGGGAAGCTCCAGGCTCCCCTGGGTGCCAGCCCTGGGTTGGCAAGGGGCACCAGGATCCGGCCTCTGTCACATGCAGGGAGCTCTCCTGCCTTTGGGGTAGCTGCCTCCTAGCCCCGTTTCCCAATCAGCAAGGATGGAAGCTGGGACACTCTTCCCCGCCCCAGGCAGCTGCTTGCTTCCCAGGCTGACCAAAGTGGGGACTGGGAAGCAGGCAGCTTCCCCATGGCAGGAGATGGTGTCCCAGCTCTCACTATGATCTGCCGATCCAAGGAAAGGAGGATGCAACTGAGAGCGCAGTTTTTTTATTTCAAAATATCATAACTCTTAGTACTGTAAATGAGAAATAACAATTCAGTGTACTGAACCACATAACACTTAAATCAAGCAAGAGATTTTTTATTTTTTACTTTATGCTCTAACTCTTAAAAAGGGTCACAATGGGGTTACAGTTACAAAAGGTTAACTTTATTAAAAAAGCACTGAAGCCTCAGCTAAACCACCCTTAATCAGGGAGAGTAAATACACAACTACAATCATTGCTCCAGTTAGAAGAAGAATGTACTCCTACATGTCTACCCATAAAATGGTTCAGGTCCTGGCAAACTGCTGATCTCTCAAGCAGATTGTACTGCAATAGATTTTATAGGTGATATTCCCATTCATCTTCAGGTAATGTCAAGCAGCTGCTATCTACTGAATAAGGTAGATTGTATATCATTTCTATTTTTTCACAGGTCTCTCATGCAACTTTTCTTATCTGCTTCAAATACTTTCAAGACATTTTCCCCATCCTCCAATCTTTAAATACCATTACACTGGTCTGACGGTTAAAATGTACATCATAATAAAGGAGTGGTATGCGGGCAGTAAACCAACCCTTTGAGGGCTGAATTGTGTTAAAAACTCTGAAGCTTTTAGGGTCCAGCCAGAATAAACCTATACCTTAACTTCACACATCCATTAAAAAGACAATCAAATCTAAAAAAGCCAGTGTTAATAATTACAAATTACTAACTGAATTTCTTCAATTCCATAAGGAACAATCAACACATGAACACTTTTCATAAACAGACTAAAGGTGTCAACTAACTACTTGGGTTTTTGTGGGGGCGTGTGTTTGTTTTGGCTTGTGAACTCTGTTCACAATACTTGCTATTATTTTCTGTTCTGCACTAACTCAAAAAGTAACATTAATAGTGCTGACATATATCCACTGCATTGTCTGAGAAGTCAAAATACAAAGTATTCAAGGACAAAGAGAATACACCAATTGCCAGTAGGTGTTTACCACTAACAGAAGCATTAATTTTCAGAAGCATACATTTGTTAACCTAGAAGGTTTTTAAATAACTGGAAATCTGTGTAGGTCAGAGACAACTAAAAGCTAATGGCAAACACTGAAACAACAACAAAAGGTTAGTGTTAGTGTTTACATCAGTAACTCAAAATGCAAGGAGAAACCAGGGTAGGGAAAAAATGAAGAAATAGAAAAATGTGCTTTTCTCCAAGAGCCAGACAATAAATACTACTCCGTATGTAGCCTCCCGAGAATACCTCAAGTCAAATTCTTTATTACGATAGCTCCTACCTATGCTGACTTTTTTTCCTAAAAAGCCCACTCATTACTCTCTTTTCAGCTCTACAAATAGTAGCAGTATTGGGAGGTGCTAGTGTTATATAGCACAAATAGCCTTGTAGTTCTAATTAGCTTATCATCTAGATCTGCTTTGAATAGGATTGGATGATTAAAATGTCAGGGACTAGGCTAGTAATTTCACCATATGGCTGCTATTAGAGCTGGAAGAAGTACTGTTTAGACACAGCCTTGAAGATACTGCTCTACATATGTCCTTTTCTGCAAGAAGGATATATTTAACACTGGTAAACATTTTAATTAACACATTTCTAACATGACATTTTTTCCAGAGCTGCTATAGCTCCATTCCATTCAATGGGAATCAAGAACTTCCTTTGTGATTTCAAAACTTGCTAACAGGGTTGGTCAAAAGAAAAATATTAGCAGCTAGTTACTCAGCAAATAGAAGGTTTTTCTTATTTTATGGATACCATCTATTTAATTTTTCACAATATCACAACATGTCCCTGAAGCTTGAGATTCGTAGTCCAGAGAAGTGATAATTCATTGTTCATCAAAACAGAGGTAGAGTTAAACTACTTTGGTCTTCAATAGTATAATAAAAAAATCTTTAAATAAATAGATATGTTAACGAGACCCAGGGCAGAGACAAAACAGTGCAGTGTCTAAATCTTATCTGCCCAAACCAATAAACATGACTGTATTCTGTGGTAGCCGCCATTTAGATTTGTTTCTTTGTTGGCCCAGTATAGAATGCACTGTAGTAATGCAGTATTGATTATCCAAGTGGAAGTGTTACAAGTTACAATGAAGTCTGAGGATGACATTTTGCTACTAATTCAGATTACAGTTTGACTTAACTCTAAACCCTAGCTGTTGCTTATACAAAAGTGGTTCCCATGCTTTAGCACAAAGTAAATATATCACAAAACACAAGTCACTGTAAAAGTAAGATCCAAATTCAGCTATACTCTAAAAAACAGTCTACTCTGAAAAATGACTGTGAAAATAGTATGATGGACCTTCCAGTTCATACACTCTCACTGATTCTATATCAAATTTGCCCAGTTTGCAAGCAAAATGGCTTTTTCTTCTCAATTCTAGAACTGAAAACTTTACCTGAGCTCTAAAAAATCAGGGCAGGTTGCGTCTTCTCATGCATCACCACCTATAATGAAGATTGTACAAGACAAATTATGCCCTCAGAGACACCATTACAGATGCATGGCCTTCAATGCAAGTATGTAACCAGAAAAAGAAATTTGGCTCAAAAAACCTTCATCACACCTGAAAAAAAGTGTGCATACATCTCCCAGCATGACTCTTATGGGAAAGACAGAATTCAATGAACTGTTAAATTAGAATGTAAGGCTACCAAAGAAAAGGCAGAACTGTCAGACCATAAATGCTTAAGAATATACATGATCTGCATCATGACAATGGATCGACCAACACAACATACCTCCATGAGTGAGAAATTATAACAGGCATTTTGCTACTAATTCAGATAAGTTTGACTTAACTCTGAACCCTAGCTGCTGCTTATACAAAAGTGGTTCCCATGCTTTAGCACAATGTAAATATATCACAAAACACAAGTGATTGTAAAACCTGCTTTTTTCCTTCCTCTTTTTCCTCTTCTATCTTTTTTTTCTCTCTCCTAATTTATCTGTGTTTGGTTGGAGAAACAGACTTAATAAAACAAACAGCTTTATAATTAAACTGTGAACAAACTACATTAGCATTTACACCATCCAAATGAATAATAGGTTTAATACTTCACAATTTTCCTGTGACTTTAGTCTAATAGAATAGAATATATAATGAAGTAGTTACTGAGCAATTTAGATTTAGGCTGTGATGAAAAAATTTTTTTAAAGTGGCATCAGCTCTGTGGTGCATGGAGGATCATCTAAATACTGTATTAGCCACACAGTCCTAGTACAAAAATTGCTCCTTGAGAAGAAAATTGAAGGGCATAGTGAAAACATAGTATACTCTGACTGAATAACTCCAAAACATTTTAAAACAGTCCCTGCCACGTCAGACAGTCAAAAGAAGAAACTGCAATCATACCCACCACATCATCCATGTGATTCAGACTAGGGGCTTAAACCCCAGTGCCCCACATCCCTGGTGAGTACCCTACCAAGAGGGCTGTTTGCTATTCAAGGGCGCATCCACATGAGTGCACATGTGCACTTTCCAGTGCCTCAAAGGCTCATGATGTGCCACAAAATACACCCCACATATGTGACTTGGTTCTCCACATTGCATATTTGCAGCCTGGAGCCAAATTTAGATACTGGTAAATAAAATATTTTTTTAAATTGTGCCAAAAAAGCAGGGCAGCACACATGGCAGCAGCATGTGCCACCCAAAACTTGAGCCTGGCCAGCCAGAACCATATTCCAGCTGCCAGCCAGGCTCCACATGCTCGGATAGATGCTGTTGCAGCTCTGGGAGGCACCCGAGAACCCCAGGTGAGGTTGCTTGGGGCAGGCCAGGTGCTGGCCCCAGACTCCCCTACCCCATCCAGGGCAATTTGCCCCATGCAAGAGCATGCATGCAGCAGTGTTCCCCAGGGAAAACAATTTTGTCATTGTTGGTATGTGTGTTCACATAGTTTTGACAAGTTTTGGTTTTGACAAATCAACATTTCCTCCCCCCCCTGCAAAAACCCCCAAAAACTAAAACAAGACAAAACTGTTCCATTTAAA